CTGACGGTGCAGCTCAGGTTGTAGCTACAGGTTTCATTCACACAGGTCACTGAGTCACAGAGGACAGTTGGCTCCGGTACTGGCTCTGCCGGGGGGAGAGAAACATGGAATGGGCTGAAATGCCCAGAGCATCTTGCGAGCCGCTGCCTGGATGTGCTGGGGGAAGGTGAGGTGAGCGCAAGGTGCTGTCTGGCTCCTCGCAGCATGGTTGCCCCTGCCCCAGCTGGAGGTGGGGGGAAGAAGGGAGGGATCATTTGGAGGTGCTGGAGAAGTGGTGGCCAGGAGGCCCAGCCTTGAGCTAGTTGAAATTCCTCAATGAAATGTGTTTCTGTCAGAAAAGGGGGATTTGCTGAAATTGGGGGGTTGGGGCCTGGGGCAAGTGGCCGGGCAGGTGAGGAAACCCGCGTGCCAAGAGGAGTTTGGGTTTCTGATGAGCCAGGGCCGTGTGGGGAAGGAGCAGTGGGGTAGCAGCCAGGGCGGGGGAAGGAGGTTGCAGAGAAGTGGGCAGAGAGGCAGAGCTGGGGGGATGACAGGGGGTGGGGGAGTGGAAGGAACAGGAGCTGGGGGTGGGGGGGAGGAGAAGCAGCCGCACTGAGAGGTCTGCACAGACGCTGGGACCCTGCAGCCCTTGATCTCCCAGAGGAGCTTCCTGAGCAGGGCGGGTTCCAGCTTCCCCCGGGGTTCATCGGCCCCACACTTACTGTACACGCGCAGTGGGAAGGGTCTGTGGATGGTGCCTGTAGCTGTGGTGATATGAGCTCTGTAGGTGCCCGTGTCCTCCATCCTCAGGCTGGTGATCTGAAGCAAGTAGTTCTCGGGGACTCTCAGGCGTCCCTCGTAGGATGGGTCTGTCACAATGACATTGGGGGGGTTTCCTGCTATTACAATTACTATACTCCTCGTTGCGTTTACCGTCCAGGAAACAGTTATAAGTTGCTCTGCTGGGATCCCCAGAGGGAAAGTGACGGAGTCCCCCAGAATCCGGCTCAGCTCCATCGCGCCTGCCTCTGCTCTG